TGCAGTACAAGGTCAGGTTACTGTACAATGTGAATAATTATTTTTAAATTCACAGATGTAATGTGTCTGTGTTTTTACCTGTTTTTTTTTTAATTGACATAGAGTGTTTTTGTGGTAAAACTGATTTACCCAGGTGCCTCCTTGGCCATCTTAGGTCTCCATGTAACATTAAATTCTGGGTATCTTACTGTCTATCTGTTCAGTTAGTATTTCATATAAACAGGCTAATGACTAATGAAATAACAATCAGACAGGGATCAAGCATATGTCAATGCTAGTCAATACTGGCAAATCATTTCCAACCTGACAACACTTTAAACATCATGACTTGTTAAGATTTGTTAAAACGACCAAATTTAACCTCAACTGTTTTCATTTTGTTTTATTGCATGCACCCAGTATATCAGATCTGTTTTGCACAAATTGAAATTAGGTCATTGCTACGATTAATCAAGATCTCTTGTCGTTATTGTATGAATAGACCATCATGAAGCTATAAACTGACATCAATGGATCTTACACTTAGGTTCTTGTGTAGATTTGTAGCTCGGGTTGTGGATGCTGTGGTTGGTTTGCTCGCCGAGCTGGTTTGTTAGTTCACAGACGTTTCATTACTCTGCTGGGTAACATCATCAGTGCAGCCTCCGATGAAGCGCTGTTGTGTTTTACTGCCTGGCATTTAAATTCTGGGGTGCGTTGGAATTGATTACCTCATTTCCGGTATTTCTTCGCAGTGGTGTATATATAGGGTATAATTCTATGTGTTTATTGATGGGCCTTCTTGGTGGAGAACCAGGCCTCTAGAAATTCCCGTGCTTGTCTCTATTTGGCCTGTCCTAGGATCTTGATGTTGTCCCAATCAAGCTGGTGTTTCTCCTTATCCATGTGAATGGAGACAAGTGAGTATTGGTTGTGTCTTTTTGTAGCTAGTTGGTGTTCATGTATTCTTGTGGCCAGTTTCCTTCCTGTCTGTCCAATGTAATGTTTGTCGCAGTGCTTGCATGGAATCTTGTATATCACCTTTGTTCTAACCATTGTGGGTAAGGGGTCTTTGGTTCGAGTTCGCAGTTAGTGTAGGGTTGAAATAGGTTTGTGTGCCACTCTGATGCCCAATTGTCCTGGGAGTCTTGTGGTCAGTTCAGATATATTCTTGATGTACAGTAATGTGACAAGTGTGTCAGAGCGTACTGTATCTTCCAATTGTTGTTTGTGCGATAGGCATCGTCAGACCTAGCTGTTTGGGTATCTGTTGTCCTTAAGTACTTGGTAGAGGCATTCTTCTTCATTTTGGCATAGTTCTGGGTTGCTGTAGTGTGTTGTCACTTGTTTAAATAGTGTTTTCACGCAACTTCTTTTGTGGGTGTTGGGGTGGTTGCTGTTGAAATTCAGGACTTGATCCGTGTGTGTGGCCTTTCTGCATACCTTCCTCAGAAATTCCCCATCGGCTCTGCGTTCTACCAGGAGGTCCAGGAATGGGAGCTGTTTGTTCTTTTTTTCTTCCCTGGTGAATTTGATGCAGGTGAGAGTGTTGTTTATTAGTTGGCATGTCTCCTCTATTTTAGTCCATTTGATGATGGCAAAAGTGTCGCCCACATATCGGATCCATAGTTTAGGGTGGATCTGCGGAAGGGCTATGCTTTCCAGTTTCTGCATCACTGCTTCTGCCTCCCAAAGGTATGCAAACCGGAAGTACCCCTCAGACCCATAGTATCCCTCCCAGGCACACCAACACACAAGTTAGCCAGGGAATTACAATGAAGACTAAAGCACGTCATCAGCAAGCCACCTCACTCAATTCACTCAGCCCAGGAGTTCCTCAAATCCCTCAAAGACATAGGAATAGACGAGGACGAGACCATGGTGTCCTTTGACATTACTGCCCTATTCACATCAATTGACATACCATTGGCAAGAGAAACATTAGCAACACTACTAAAAGAACAAGACCCGAGTGACACCATCTCCACAGACAACATGCTGAAATTACTGGACCTATGCCTCATGGCCCATTTTACATTTCATAGCCAAATCTATGAAGAAATCAATGGGACACTCACGGGTCACCTACCTCTGGGCTACGCCAAAACGAAGAATAATACCTCTACCAAGTATTTAAGGACAACGGATGCCCAAACAGCTGGGTCCGACGATGCCTATCACACAAACAACAACAGGAAGATACAGTACACCCTGACACACTCGTCACGTTACCATACATCTGAACATATCTGAAGTGACCACAAGACTCCAACGACCATTGGGCATCAGAGTGGCACACAAACCTACGTCAACCCTACACCAACTGCTAACTTGAACTAAAGAACCCTTACCCACTATGGACAGAACCAATGTGATATACACGATTCCAGGCAAGCACTGCGAAAAACATTACGTTGGACAGACAGGAAGGAAACTGGCCACAAGAATACGTTAACACCAAATAGCAACAAAAG